CTTACCTCCTCTTTGTCATGTAACACGGAACGTGTAACGGAGTCATATCCGTAACATAGGATCAATTGCGCATTTTGAAAAGGATTCCTTACAAGGATTTCCCCTGCAGCTCGTAATATGCAATATAAAAGATTTCTAAATATCGCTTTTGGTATATTTTTTTTAGTTTTAGATTTTCACGTTTAGAAGATCATAAAAAAAATAAAAACATATTTTCTAGATTTATAAAAAGGCGGGGAAGATCTAAAAAAACGAAATGTAGTATTGATAAGAAAAATCGATACAAAGTTAGCAATGTTCACGAAATGAGGGGCGGTCGGGTAGCCTAGTGGTAAAAGCGTTCGGTCGTAACGTCGAAGACACAGGTTCGATTCCCGACATGGGTACAATGTGTGAAGCCCATTTCTGGCGTCCCCCACCGTGATATTGCTGGAATTTTCTAAATGCGGCGTAAAACCACACTCACCCATTCACTCACTCACGGTATGACTACACAACCGATGGTGTATTGTGTACAGGATTGCGACAGTTCTGTTTGTTATCTTGAGGGATGCATCCTCACACAGTAATGTTCCAGCTTGTCAACACAAACACGGCAAGTGTTTCATACACACTATAAGTTTGTATTTGAATGTCAGAACTGTGGGGTTCAGAATAATATATTTCGTTTAATTTGATATTAGGACGACCAAGTGACAGTACATTGTTAACATAGGAAAATATTCGCTAACTTGACAGGTGGTACAGATAGGTTTAAATGAAAGAAAACATTAAGCTGACTTTCAAAGCTCAGAACAAACAGGAAATGTGTGGGTAGAATGACGAGTCACGAGTCTCATGACTTCCTACTTGTTGATTATGTTGGATTGTTTTGGATTATGTTGGATTACATTGAGTCGTTTGTGATCGTGTTTCCGGGATGTCTCTGCATGTCTTTTTAACTACATTCTGGAAAGACGTTAGAGTTCAAATGAATTCGGCACTTTTGAAACTATTTTTCACTTTTTACTGCCGTATGCGACAGCGTGTGGTTTTGATTCTGAAAATATCCAGGCATCCTCTAAACTGAAATCACTGTTGCGTTATCTTAATTCAACCATGTCAATGGGACAAAATAAGCGTGAAGACGAATAAATCATCTCATGCAGACATGAATCATTCAAACGTTCATCCCAAGAGCGACCCCTGTTACGTTTATAACACCACTATTATAACGTCACAGTGTTCTACATGGAGGACGTTCAAGGATTGTAGAATGAAACACATGGCGTCACAGTGCCTGACTGAGTAGCGACAAAAACGAAGTTGATGTTCTTGAATTTGACGATATACTCTCGTGAAGAGAATATCGTGCTTCCTTGAATAAACACAATGCTGCGCTTGCCTTAAATAATGCAGGAACCGAAACATTTTGTGTATCATAACTTTTCAGTGATGCATTCATACAATTTTCACCTTTTAGGTCCAACTGAATCTGTTTGGGTGGATAAAGGAGACTGTTTATTCTCTGGCGCTAACGTTTTATATTCATGGAGTACGATCAGAATGCCTGCCGGTTTGCGAAAGAAGTGCTTCTAATTTAAGTATTTCTTTTCTCAGTGATGCGGTCCTTAGCAAATTCATGTTCTAACGTATATTCCACACCTCTGCCCTGCCAGTCAGAATACAGGATTCTAAAATGTCATGGTAGCATAGCGTATGGAGCCAGGTGCTAGCAGCATGTGATGAGAGTCTCGATCAGCTTTGTCCGGACTTCTGTGCACATGTTGTGAAGTGTCGGAGATAATGAAGCCGAATATAGTAGGGTTATTCCATGTGTCCAGTGAAATATCTCCTTTGCCCCTAAACGGTATAATCATGAGAGCAACGTGATATTTCACTCGACACATGGAATATCCTATCTATTATATACTTTGTGTATAGTTGTGTAACAGAAAATGAAATTATTGCATTTCAAATGTAAAACCTTGACACGTATATTCTCCCCATGTAAGACGCAGGCCTAGGGACGCTTTCACCACACCGTAACTACCTAAAAAGTAGTTCCGTGTTTGCAAAATCTTTAAAACTATAAACAAAAGTTAGAAAAAATATCTGAAGTCAATACACTTCTTTATCATACATTTGGATGTATACAAAATCAACTTCAGCAAAAAATATTCTTGAAATCCGCGAGATCGTTATTAAAAGAGAAAGACTACACGCTGGCTAAGGAACAAAAATGGCGCTTTGCGAAACGACTGACAAGGTAAATGAGAAATGTATGTTGATAATGAAACATTTTCAAGAGAATAACAAACGGTATAAGTGTTCACCTGTCAATATTTTGTCTTCTCAGTGTGGAACTTACATAAATAGGGAGTCAACAGTTTGCTTAACAGACACTTGCTTAAGGGGAGATCATTTGCGGGGAGGTAACTTTTGTAAGACAATATTTCCGTGAAAGTGTTATATTCACTGCAGTGTAATATCAAGTCTTTTGTTCACTGCAATGAAAATATCACTTTTCTCAACTTCAGAAAACTTAATCTTTAACATTGAAGTATATGATAAAGAAATATATCGGATATGACCTCTACAATATGCTTCTCAAATAGTGGTAACTGGCCAGATATATTATCGATTGGGGATTAACAGGAAAGGCCCTTTGTAATTTAATTATTATTTCCCTGAGTTTAACTTTCGCCCCGTGTGCTCCCCTATTACCTCGGGTTGAGACCTATATTGAGTGAATGAGTTGGGGTTAACGCTTTGAATATTATTCCAGTTATATCACTGCGTGTCAGCTTAGGAAGCCCCGAAGTGATGCAGGCAGCAGACATTTACCACTTTGGTGAAACTCACGAGCACGGATATGGTGCTGATAAACCTAGAAACGTTCGGTGCGAATCGGGATTAGAACATAGGTTTCTGCCCAAGGTTTCTGCAGAATTCTGCATAGCGAATTCCGGGGCTTTAGCCGACTGGGCCACCCGTGCCCCCAAATTAAACTGGAACTGTTTACAACTATCTGTATAAATCACGAAGTCCTTCCAAACTGACAACATGCACTTTGTCCGTCACTTCCCAATGTATACCAGAAGTAATTATGCATACCACTTCCCGGGCACAATTATATAAAATAATTACGGATCGCGATACAGTATTGGCTTGGTGATCTGTATTTTTTTGGCTTTCCGCAGGCGGAGGCGTCCTGATTCATTTGAAAGGTCAACACAAGTTTGGGGCGTTTTCGAATTGTAATGGAAATGAAATGTCAGTAGTTCCTACTCACATACTCTTGATTTTTCGGTTATCTCTTTGTAATGTGTTCTGATTATCTTAATCAGAGCTCCAAGCAAGGAATGCGAGAGTCCTCCAGTGATTGTTTGGTTGGTTATAAAAGCTTCAAGATTGACAGGCTAAGAGGCATCTTGTATTTGTAGGAATGATTGTTTATTCTCTATCATGACTTTAAACATCGTTTAAGATTGATGAATAAGATGTTTCAAATCACAAAGTGCCATGGACGCGTCATCACATATTAATATCTTTTCTTTTTACTAAATTGTGTCTTTCTCGTAAGGTCATCGGGTCGGAAGTGCACTGAATGCAATATGTTAGGAAGAGTTCCCTCAGGATAAACCTAAATTGTTTCTTTTTTGTTCTATTGGCCAAAGGCATAAACTTTCTGTTTTGAATACTACTGCTGTTTGTTTTACAAAAACACAACCGGACGTGAATCAATCCTACGGAAGTGTTGATATCATATCCATCAAGATAATCAAAGGACAGTGGTTTTAAATCATTATTCTATTTAAAGTGAAAAGAATAAATCAACTCTACACGCATATAAGATATAATGAATAAGATATATAATGAAACGGTATGGCAATTTCTTAAAGACATCTCAGACATATCAATAATTTCAATACCGATCTTGGTGGGTTGAATGGAAATATAATATATCGCAATGACACTTAACTATGCATAATTCTGAAACAATACAAATGACGACAACACATTTTGAGATGATTGAACATGTAAACATTTTCTTTAATAAGCTTTTCGTGAGTTTCTTGATTAATTCGTTTCATACGACTCTTGGACAGAAGTTGTTTGATCAAGTTTACAACATTCAAGAGAACGGAAAAGTTTTCAAAAAATTTCATATCCAAATTCGATTTCCAGTGACTAATACGATATCCGATGCAATTCCCTATTTTGACTCGTACCAAATGTTCAGGTTAAAATTGACATGCCTTTACGTGTGTTTGTGACGGGTGCCTCCGATGGGGAAGGTTACACTCACCTTTTGACGAATACCTGGTATCATCATTATCGGACATTGATTCATAAACACCTGTTCATGATATTGTCGGAATCGTACAATCGACTCTGTCATAGAGTTCTTATCGATATGGAAAGGGTTTTGTCGCTTTTATTTTATATGTACTTGGATGGATTGGATGGCAAGGGTCGATGATTTGGTTAAAGGCGTAAACGTACCTCGACAACGCTCATACTATTGATCACTGGATTGTTTGGCCCAAACTCGATTGTTCACATGCCGCCGTCATGTGCGGTGTTAGGCAGCAAACAAACACTTTTGTATTGACCTAGCCTCATCACTGACCTTTTGTGATCCATTCGTGAAACCTAGTTTGCCTTTTTCACCCTGTGGGTTCTGTTTCGTCAGATATTCGAAGCTATTTTTTCTCTGGCGTTGACGTTTGCATTTTGTTTCGGGCGTGTTTCGGCTAGTACATGTAATTCAAGTCACCTACTGTCAAATTACAGATTTTATATGTACTGTACATATTCCTTGGAAGCGAATCTTCCACAAATATTGAACAACAGACTTTTTACAAATAATATTTAAAAATATATTACAGGATATAGCAACAAAATAAAAACCTGTCTTGTTACGCTTGAATGCAGAAAGAGACCTTGGATGCCATGCTTACTAATTATAAATAAAACAAGTACTAGTATTGTTTGACTTTGAAAAGGGTCATCGA